TGACACTTGACAACAATGCAAGTGTCAAACAACGTGTCAGAAATCAGTGTACAAATAGGTAAGTTCAATCGGTTAGAACCTTGGGACATGTATGCTTTAGTTTTCACTTTGCCACATGACATTACCCTGTTGGACAGCTTAAATTTGAAATAGTTTTCCCATCCAATTGACACATGACAGCAACACAAGTGTCAAACAACATGTCAAAAATCAGTGTACAAATAACAAAGTTCAATCGGTAAAGGCCATGCCATATGTACACTATGGTGTACAATTCAGTTTACACATTGCCACGTGACATTACCCTGTTGGACAATTTAAATTTCGAATGGTTTTCACATCCAATTAACACTTGACAACAATTCAAGTGTCAAACAACTTGTCCAAAATCAGTGTAAAAATAGCTAAGTTCAATCGGTAAGAACCTTGCTACATGTACACTATGCTGTACACTTTAGTTTTCACTTTGCCATGTGATATTACCCCGTTGGACAGTTTAAATTTCAAGCAGTTTTCTCATCCGATTGACATTTGACAACAATGCAAGTGTCAAACAACGTGTCAGAAATCAGTGTACAAATAGGTAAGTTCAATCGGTTAGAACCTTGGGACATGTACACTTTAGTTTTCACTTTGCCACATGACATTACCCAGTTCGACAGTTTAAATTTGAAACAGTTTTCCCATCCAATTGACACATGACAGCAACACAAGTGTCAAACAACATGTCAAAAATCAGTGTACAAATAACAAAGTTCAATCGGTAAGGGCCATGCCATATGAACACTATGGTGTATAATTCAGTTTACACATTGCCACGTGACGTTACCCTGTTGGACAATTTAAATTTTGAATGATTTTCACATCCAATTAACACTTGACAATAATTCAAGTGTCAAACAACTTGTCCAAAATCAGTGTAAAAATAGCCAAGTTCAATCGGTAAGAACCTTGCTACATGTACACTATGTTGTACACTTTAATTTTCACTTTACCATGTGATACTACCCCATTGGACAGTTTAAATTTCAAATAATTTTCTCATCCTATTGACATTTGACAACAATGTAAGTGTCAAACAACGTGTCAAAAAATAGTGTACAAATAGCAAAGTTCAGTCGGTAATAACCTTGCTATATGTACGCTATGGTGTACACTTTAGTTTACACTTTGCAACATGACGTTACCCTATTGGACAGTTTAAGTTTCAAACAATTTTTTCATCCAATAGGCACTTAACAATAATGCAAGTGTCAAACGATGTGTCAAAAATCAATATACTAATAGCAAAGTTCAATCGATGAGGACAGTGCTACATGTACACTCTGGTGTACACTTCAGTTTACACTTTGCCACGTGACATTACCCTGTTGGAAAACATAAATTTAAAATAGTTTTCAGATCCAATTAATAATTGACGATAATACAAGAGTCAAACAACGTGTCGATAAAAAGTGTAAAAGTAGCAAAGTTCAATCGGTAGGAACCTTGCTACATGTACACTATGGTGTATACTTTAGTTTACACTTTGCTACGTGACATTACCCTGTTGGACAGTTTAAATTTCAAACAATTTTCCCATCCAATTGACACTAGACAACAATGCAAGTGTCAAACAATGTGTCAAAAATCAGTGTAGAAATGGCAAAGTTCAATCGGTAAGGACCGTGCTACTTGTACGCTATGGTGTACATTTTAGTTTACACTTTGCCACGTGACATTACCCTGTTGGACAGTTTAAATTTCAAATAGTTTTCCCATCCAATTGATTACATATAGCAAAGTTCAATCGGTAAGGACCGTGCTACTTGTACGCTATGGTGTACATTTTAGTTTACACTTTGCCACGTGACATTACCCTGTTGGACAGTTTAAATTTCAAATAGTTTTCCCATCCAATTGACACTTGACAACAACACAAGTGTCAAACAACTCGTCAAAAAGCCGTGTACAAATGGCAAAGTTCAATCGGTAAGAACCTTGCTATATATACACTATGGTGTACACTTTAGTTTACACTTTGCCACGCGATATTATCTTGTTGGACAGTTTAAATTTCAAACAGTTTTTCCATCCAATTAACACTTGACAACAATGCAAGTGTCAAACACGATGTCTAAAATCAGTGTAAAAATAGCAAAATTCAATTGGCAAGAACCTCGCGACATGTACACTATGATGTACACTTTAGTATACACTTTGCCACGTGACATTATCCTGTTGGACAGTTTAAATTTCAAGCAGTTTTTCCATCCAATTGACACTTGAAAAGAATGGAAGTGTCAAACAACGTGTCCAAATCAAAGTAAAATTGCAAAGTTCAATCGATAATAACTTTGCAAGATGTACACTATGGTGTACACTTTAGTTTACACTTTGCCACATGACATTACTCTCTTAGATAGTTTAAATTTCAAATAGTTTTCCTATCCAACTGACACTTGACAACAACACAAGTGTGTGAACTAACATGTCAAAAATCAGTGTACATATCGCAATGTTCAATCAGTAAGAGCCTCGCGACATGTACACTATGGTGCACACGATAGTTTACACTTTGTCACGTGACATTACCCTGTTCGACAGTTTAAAATTCAGACAGTTTTCTCATTCAATTGACACTAGACAACAATGCAAGTGTCAAACAACGTGTCAAAAATCAATGTACAAATAGCAAAGTTCAAACGGTAAGGACCGTGCTACATGTACACTATGGTGTACATTTTAGTTTACACTTTGCCACGTGACATTACGTTGTTGGACAGTTTAAATTTCAAATAGTTTTTGCATCAAATTTACACTTGACAGCAATGCAAGTGTCAAACAACATGTCCAAAAGCAGTGTACAAATAGCAAAGTTCAATCGGTAATAACCTCATGACATGTAGACTATGGTGTACACTTTAGTTTATACTTTGCCACATGACAATACCCTGTTGGACAGTTTAAATTTCAAACAGTTTTACCATCCAATTGACACTTGACAACAACACAAGTGACAAACAACGTGTCAAAAATCAGTGTACAAATACCAATGTAAAAACTCAGCGTACAAATAGCAAAGTTCAATCGGTAAGGACCGTGCTACATTACACTATGGTGTATACTTTAGTTTACACTTTGCCATGTGACATTATCCTGTTGGACAGTTTAAATTTCAAATAGTTTTTCCATTCAATTGACACTTAACAAAATGCAAGTGTCAAACAACATGTTAAAAATCTATGTACAAATAGAAAAGTTCAATCAGTAAGAACCTTACGACATGTACACTTTAGTTTACACTTTGCCACGTGACATTACCCTGTTGGACAACTTAAATTTCAAACAGTTTTTCCATCCAATTTACACATGACGACATGCGCAAGTGTCAAACAACGCGTCAAAAATCTGTGTACATATAGCAACGTTCAATCGATAAGAACCTCGCGACATGTAGACTTTGGTGCACACTATAGTTTACACTTTGTCACATGACATTATCCTGTTGGACAGTTTAATTTTCAAACCGTTTTCCCATCCAATTGACACTTGACAACAATGTAAGTGTCAAACAATGTGTTGAAAATTAGTGTACGAATAGCATAGTTTAATTGGTAAGAACCTTGCTACATGTGCACTATGGTGTACACTTTAGTTTACACTTTGCCACGTGAAATTACCCTGTTGGACTGTTTAAATTTCAAATAGTATTCCCATCCAATTTAAACTTGACAACAATGCAAGTTCAAACAACGTGTCAAAAATTAGCGTACAAATAGCAGAGTTCAATCAGTAAGAACCTTGCGACATGTACATTTTAGTTTACACTTTTTCACGTGACATTACCCTGTTGGATAGTTTAGATTTCAAACAATTTTCCCATTCAATTTACACTTAACAACAATACAAGTGTCAAACAAAGTGTAAAAAATCAGTGTACAAATAGCAAAGTTCAATTGGTAAGAATCTTGCGACATGTACACTATGGTGTACACTTTAGTTTACACTTTTTCACGTGACATTCCCCATTTGGACAGTTTAAATTTCAAATAGTTTTCCCATCCAATTGACACTTGACAACAATGCAAATGTCAAACAACGTGTCGTAAATCAGCGTACAAATAGCAATGTTCAATTGGTAAGAACCTTGCTACATGTACACTATGGTGTACACTTTAATTTACACTTTGCCATGTGATATTACCCTATTGGACAGTTTGAATTTCAAATAGTTTTTCCATCCAATTTGTCACGCCCCCAAATTAACATTGATATCTATGCACAACCTAGATATAGAATTTTACATATATATATTTTTTGTTCTAGTTTGTTAACTTCTAATCACCTGTGACACGATTATATAACATATCAAAACCTAAAATCAGTGTTGGATAGTTTAAATTTCAAACAATTTTCCCATTCGATTTATACTTAACAACAATGCAAGTGTTAAACAAAGTGTCAAAAATCAGTGTACAAATAGCAAAGTTCAATTGGTAAGAACCTTGCGACATGTACACTATGGTGTACACTTTAGTTCACACTTTTTCACGTGACATTCCCCATTTGGACAGTTTAAATTTCAAATAGTTTTCCCATCCAATTGACACTTGACAACAATGCAAATGTCAAACAACGTGTCGTAAATCAGCGTACAAATAGCAATGTTCAATCGGTAAGAACCTTGCTACATGTACACTATGGTGTACACTTTAGTTTACACATTGCCACGTGATATTACCCTATTGGATAGTTTGAATTTCAAATAGTTTTTCCATCCAATTTGTCACGCCCCCAAATTAACATTGATATTTATGCACAACCTAGATATAGAATTTTACATATATATATTTTTTGTTCTAGTTTGTTAACTTCTAATCACCTGTGACACGATTATATAACATATCAAAACCCAAAATCATATCGCCGTAATCCAACATATATATTTTGAGCTTACAAACATGTCTACAGGCCATTTCAAAAGTACACTATATAGGATTCCAAAATATAACCCAACAGATAGCAGCCTACAAAATAACCCTACAGGTCGTCATCCATGTAAATCGAACTCTGGAATCCTATAGGAGCTCCACAACTAGCCATGCTCTTTATGTGGTTCCATTATCACCTACAATGCAAGAACTACATAAGCCAATGCTTAGTAAGCAAAATCAAGCATGTCCTGAACATGAGTAATAACGACATATGACACCATGCCATTTACTTTAAAATCACGATAAAAAGTATCATATTTCAATATTCGTCAAAGTCGATTAGAAATCATTTCACTTGAAATCTTTCATTTCATTGGACCCTTGACTCACCTACTATGCACCGGATAGAGCTCTGCATAATATCAATATCAATAATCAAATGGCCAGTATGAAATCGACATCGATGAGTGGACCATCCTCTCATGACCACTAGAGGCCCATCCCCTGACTACCCCCATGATCACCCAAGAAGTCTGCCACCCGACAGCGCCAATAATCATAATATCACAAAGGCATAGTTGAGTGGTCCGCCTTCCCGTGATCACTAAAGGCCCATCCCGTGTCTACCTTTGCAATCACCCAGGAAGTAACACCCGCAATGCCAAACATATCACATAAGCATGCCTCACATGCCTCGGTGCCCTAGTAGTGGTCAATAAAATATTTATAATGAAACTCACTTTGAAATCATGTTTGCATGCAAGATTTTCAACCATGTCACATGTCGTGCATGCTTATGAAAATGCTCATAAATGATGTATTTAATGAAAATCGATGTCAATAGGTTACGCAACCTCATACTCAATGATCGTAACCACCATATGATGTACTATAAGCCTCTTATCAAAGTTATGTAGATATTTCAACATTACTATGTCACATATACTAGGTTCTTGCATCGTAGTTGCAAATGGATTTTCACTTACCTTTCACCTTTGTGTGTGCAAGCTTCTATAGAGATTAGATCAATATCCTTTTTCACTCGAAGTCAGAAAATCACCTGTATTACCATTTAATATACAAGAGAATCCTCAATTTAATAACCTTAACGCACAAAATCCCAAAATACATCCATTCTTACCAAAATAATTTAGATGGAATCATCATTTCAAGTTACCAATGGCATTACAAACTTATCCCATAAATCTGGCTATTTCTCGAGTCAAATTATGAACGTCAATGTCATCCAGTTGTTGTTGACAACCAAGTACCCTTAGAATCTATTTTCTAGTCCCAGGAATGATTAATGTACATATAAATGCTGAAATCACATTAAACACAAAATTAAACAGAATCTGTTTTCAGATTTCCCTTACCGTCCAATTGTTTTTCCAATCCCTTTTCACCCCCTTATCTATATCCAATGACTCCGAAATTTTTACCACATTTCTATAACATGTATGTGAAGGTAATCATGATCTAAAGTCGTGACAAGTAAAGTGTTCTCAGCCTCAGAACAATTCATTTCTACAACACTAAAATCAGACAGTTTCCATTGTGACAGTTTTCGGTTTCTATTTTATTAGCATGTTACCAATCAGATTTCAAGCTATTAGAAGGCCATTTATATCCTCATAAATATCATGTAAAAACATTCATTTACATAGATACAAGTTATATCTTAAGTATTATCCAAAATCAAAGTTTAAACCATCCAAATTCATCAATCAACACATCTCTATTTCTGTTGGTTTCTTTCAGGTTCTTGTACTTGATTACCCCTCTTTTTGCCATCATAAAATCATAAAAAACCCTTATAATTAACCTCAAGTAAGTTTAGAGTTTTAGAATATTATAAAACACCCAAAAGGACTAAAGAAAAACTTCAAAACCGTGACTTTAACTAACCTTTACAAACTGCAATCCCAGCTTCTTACTTTTCTATCTCTCTTTGCTTCCTTTGCTCTCCATTTCACTTGGGGATATATTTGGATGTTTAAATGTCTTATCCAAGAGATGTATCAGTAGCCTCAAGGGTTGGAGTCGTGAATGATGCTTAAGGATGAAGGAAAGTGTAATTAAAAGACAAGTATCATCAAAGCATGAGCTGTCCAAGCAGGAGGTGGATTCATGCAGCAAACTTTGACCTTTCCCTTACCTTATATGGAGGCATATGTGTCTTATAAGATGTATATCTATCCAATATAAAGTGATAATGATTTTGGAGACGTGATGGAAGTCTTAAGGCTGAAGGAATTAAATGTTCGATTGACAAGTTTTCACAAGGTAAGTAGGAGGTGTCTCCGTTGTAGCAACATTTGACTTTCTTTCTATTATCTTTGGATCCATTTATGATATAAAATATTTATATTCGTCCTATATTCAGTTCTTAGGGAGTGTGACACGAAATTGATGCCTTAAGCCCAAAGCAATTGGGCGTTAACATGACAACTATCCCAAGCATGAGGTGTCCAAGCACGATCTGTCTTCATTGCAGCCATACTTGACTTTCAACCATTATATTTGGATGCATTTGTGACTTTTAAGATTTATATATCTATCCTATATTAAGTTTTTAGGGAGTATAGACGAGATCGATGCCTTAAGGTTGAAGAAATTGAGTGTTAAAATGATAAACATCCCAAGCACGATGTGTACAAGCAAGAGGTGGTCACTTGAAGCAAAAACCTGATTTTATATCTATCATTGCAGGTAAAAATCAAGTATCCTTGGCTTATTTTGACATGCTTACAACCCCTTTCACTTGTCCTAAGATCCTAAAGTATTTTACAGAGTTAATTTCTCAACCGTTCATTTAAATTCTTACCCGATTGACACCCAATTCTCTACCGATTTCAACAATTCGCACCTCAATATTTATAATGTCATATGAGACATATATTATTGCATTGTGATCATGCCACTTCATGCCTCACATTCCAAATGTGTCAATTACCTATCTAGGATTTAAGATGACCTCGGTCCACCGAATGGAAAGCTTGAACCTTTGTCGATACTAATTTCTGACCTTTTCGATTTCCATTATTTACCAAGCTAATCTTCAACATTTAGTTAACCTAATTTTCTATAATAACTCAATGTGAAATTCACTACTTAGGTCAAGGAGTCAAATATCATCACTATATAAAGATTTTAAAGCCTCGATGATCAAACACACGTTTTTAATAGAAAGTAATTAGGAAATTGATGCAAATGACAATGTAATTAGCATGGAATGCATGAATCATATTGGCCAAATGTAGAATGTGAAGTTTGGGGTATTACACAATTGACACTTGACAACAATGCAAGTGTCAAACAACATGTCAAAAATCAGCGTACAAATAGGAAAGTTCAATCGATAAGGACCGTGCTACATGTACACTATGGTGTACACATTAGTTTACACTTTGCCACGTGATATTATCCTATTGGACAGTTTAAATTTCACACAGTTTTCCCATCCAATTGACACTTGACAACAATGCAAGTTTCAAACAACGTGTCTAAAATTAGTGTACAAATAGCAAAGTTCAATCGGTAAGAACCTCGCGACATGTACACTATGGTGTAAATGTTCATTTACAGTTTTCCACGCGACATTTCCCTATTGGACAGTTTAAATTTCAAACAGTTTTTCCATCCAATTGACACTTGACAACAATTTAATTCTCAAACAACGTGTCCAAAATCAGTTTACAAATTGCAAAGTTCAATCAGTAAAAATCTTAAATTTCAAGCAGTTTTCCCATCTAATCGACACTTGACAACAATGCAAGTCTCAAACAATTTGTCCAAAATCAATGTACAAATTGCAAAGTTCAATCAGTAAGAACCTTGGTACATGTACACTATGGTGTATACTTTAGTTTACACTTTGCTACGTGACATTACTCTATTGGACAGTTTAAATTTCAAACGGTTTTCCCATCCAATTGACACTTGACAACAATACAAGTGTTAAACAATTGTAGCAAGGTTCTTACTGATTGAAGTTTGCTATTTGTACACTAATTTTGGACACGTTGTTTGACACTTGAATTGTTGTCAAGTGTCAATTGGATGGAAAAACTGTTTGAAGTTTAAACTGTCCAATTGGGTAATATCACGTGGCAATGTGTAAACTAAAGTGTACATCATAGTGTACTTGTAGCAAGGTTCTTAGTGATTGAACTTTGCTATTTGTACACTGATTTTTGACCCGTTGTTTGACACTTCCATTGTTGTCAAGTGTTAATTGGATGGGAAAACTATTTGAAATATAAACTTTCCAACAAGGTAGTGTCACATGGAAAACTGTAAATTAATGTGTACACCATAGTGTACATGTAGCAAGGTCCTTATCGATTGAACTTTGTTATTTGTACACTGATTTTTGACACGTTGTTTAACGCTTGCATTGTTGTCAAGTGTCAATTGGATTGAAAATTTGTTTGAAATTTAAACTGCCCAACAAGGTAATGTCACATGGCATAGTGTAAGCTAAAGTATATACCATACTGTACATGTTGCAAAGTTCTTACCGATTGAACTTTGCTATTTGTACACTGATTTTTGACACGTTATTTGACACTTGCATTGTTGTCAAGTGCCAATTGGATGGGAAAACTGTTTGATATTTAAACTGTCCAATAGGATAATGTCATGTGGGAAAGTATAAACTAAAGTGTACAACATAGTGTACATGTAGCAATGATGCGAACCCCGTAGCAACTTAGTCTACAAACCCCACAAATAGATTGATGCGGAACCTAGGAACGCCAATTGATAATCAGTTTGGAATGAACCCAACAAAGTGAAACAAAAAACCCAAAGATAATGGTGATGCAATGGACCCCTTTCTTACAAATTGAAGAACCCATGATCCGGTGTTAAACGCCACAAGGAATTACCCTTCATAAGTTCGATTTATTGTTCAATTTGGAAGAGCAAAGAAGAAAGCTATAATCTCTCAATATAATGTTAAAAGTTTTTTTACAATAGAAAATACTACTCCTATTTATACTAAAACCTAAAATATCATAAATAGAATAAAATCCCGTGCAAAAATCAAGAAGAATTATAAAAAGATTACAATTCTAATCAAATTAGGAAACTCGTGAAAAATTACAATTTGGTCCTCGACTTTGTTCTATGCGGTCGCATAGTTCATTTAATTTTCCCCTGGAATTCCCTATCGGCATACATGCGACCACAAGGATGTGGTCGCATAGTTCACACTGCTGCTTCCAACTTCCATTGCTCGTATCATATTGATCCAAGTCTCTTTGGCCTTCGACCCCAACATGACACTGGCTCCATTTTACGTCCCAAACATGGTTTCATCATTAGTGGCTTTTACTAGCAACCCCATTGCCTCTTTAACTCGTTTCGCTCTTGATCGCATCATCGAGCCTTCTTCAATAATCAACAGGTCTTGGGTCGACCTTCCCTTTGTGACTCCCGCATCTTAGATCATATCTCCCTTTTCAAGAGGATTCATCCTCGAATCTACACCTGCATCAAAGAGAGATAGATCAGCAACGTTTAATGTAGCTAAAACATTATTTTCACCTGGAAGATCCACTTTGTATGCATTATCATTTATCTTTTCAATGACTTGGAATGGACCATCTCCTCGTGGCTGCAATTTTGACTTCCTCTGCTCGGGAAAACACTCCTTTCTAAAATGTACCCAGACCCAATCACCTAGTTCAAATGTTATGAGCTTTCTTCCTTTGTTTGCCTTTAACGCAACTAGCTTACTCTTTTCTTCAATTTGCATCTGAACCTTTTCGTGGAGTGATTTTACCAACTCACTTTCCTCTTACCATCCAAGCTACCTCATTCATTCACAGGTAAAGGTAACAAATCCAAAGGAGTTAATGGATTAAATCCATACACAATTTCAAATGGTGAATAAGAAGTAGTCAAATGCACAGCATGATTATAAGCAAGCTTAATAAATGGCAAGCAATCTTCCTAACTTTTTAAGTTCTTATTAATCACTGTTCGAAGTAATTGAGTCATGGTCCTATTTACTACTTCACTTTGACCATCACAAGTTGTAGAAAATTACAATTTAGTTCCTAAATTATTCCACAAAACACGCCAGAAATGACTCCAAAATTTGACATCTCGGTCCGACACAATACTCTTAGGGACTCCATGCAAACGTACTATCTCCCTAAAGAATAAATCAGCAATGTTAGTGGCATCATCAGTTTTGTGACACGGTATAAAATGTACCATTTTACTAAACCTATCAACCACTACAAAGATAGAATCCCGACCTTTCTTTGTCCTAGGTAACCCCCAACACAAAATTCATAGAAATATCCACCCAAGGTTCACTAGGCACAGGTAAAGGTGTGTACAAGCCATGGGGTAAAACCTTTGATTTAGCCTATTTACAAGTTATGCACTTCTCACAAATTCGTTCTACATCACTACGCATTCTAGGCCAGTAAAAGTGTTCCCCTAACATGTCTAAAGTCTTTTGAATCCCAAAATGACTCATTAGACCCCCACTGTGTGCTTCCCTTACCAATAATTCACGCATTGAACAATTTGGAATGCACAACCTATCTTCCCTAAACAAATATCCTTCATGTCTATAAAATTAATCAATAGCCATTTTAGCACATGAATTAAAAATGTTTGAGAAATCAATGTCACTTTCATACATGCTCTTGATATGTTCAAAACCAAGTAATTTCGCACTTAGAGAGTTAATAAGCACGTACTTTCACGACAATGCATCTGCAACTATATTTTCATTACCTTGCTTATACTTGATGATGTACAGAAATGTCTCTATGAACTCTATCCACCTCGCATGTCGCTTGTTCAACTTACCTTGACCTCGCAAGTGCTTTAGGGACTCCTTATACACCAACAACAACACTTGTCTTTTATCACTAAAAGCCCTTTTTAATTCACTTACCCTCGGAAAGAAGTTTACCTTTGGCTTTTCTCTCCGCTCAGCTGACTATTTTTCTCTTCACTCAACTGACTCCTTTTCTCTCCTCTCATGTGGCCTCTCTCTCTTTTCCCCTTTGTCGACCACCTCACTATCTTCTCTCTTATTCACAGGCTCACTATCTTCTCTCCTTTTTGTAAATTCTCTCGCTTGCCTTTCTTCCTCATTTCTTAGTTTTATTTGGTCTTCATACACCTAAGCCGGTGTTAATGGTGCAAGAGTAATGGACCTCTCATCCATGACAAAGCTATACTGATTACTTTACCCATCATGTGTAACCTTCCTATCAAATTGCCAGGGTCTCCCCAGTAGAATATGACCCATTTACATGGGCACCACATCACATACAACCTTGTCACTATATCTTCCAATCGAGAAATTAATTAACACCCGCTTATTTACCCTAACTTCTCCACTCTCATTCAACCACTACAATTTATAAGGCTTAGGGTGTCTCAATAATGCTAAACCCAATTTCTCAACTAAAGTTGTGCTAGCCACATTTGTGCAACTCCCACCATCAATAATCAAGCTACATACTTGATCGTGGACGTGGCAACAAGTGTGGAATATGTTCTCCCACAGCTGCTCTGAATCATCTATCTTGATTTGAGTGTTAAGTGCTCGCCTCGAGACCAGCAGTTCCCCAATGGCAAATTTTGTCTCATCTTCACCACCAATATTCTCATACGCTGGCATCATCACTTACCACATCCTAATTGTCCCGCAACACCATGGTTCGTTTGTTAGGACCTGAGATGCAATATGTCCCGACCCCAAACACCTGAAAACTTGATATCTTGGTTTCGTTATGGTTGTGGCTCCAATTTTGGTGCTGTCTTATTAGCACTTTCTTCTTTCCCATTCCACCATTCATTTCTTCCTTTGGTTACTGCTTCATTCCCCTTATTATTATCATCCCACTTCTGTAACGCCCCGAATTCTTTAGCAACCCGGAACGTTACCAAACGTTGGGTAATTCTAACTCCTTCAATAATTAACTATTCGGCCTATTTAATAAAGGTATAAAATCTGAAACTTATTTTCACTTTGGTCCTTCAACTATAAAGATATTCGCATAGATCCAAATTAACCATAGAAATAACCAATTAACTTGTATAAGGACATAACTGAACTTTGCATTCCTATTAAATAAATTAATGCTAAGTAAAAATTTGGGATTTTACAACTTCGACTTCCAATTTGGGTTAGAAGACGACGTATTCACCGCCTGCCTCGTCGTCCCCTTCCTCTTCAGTTGTTTCTCCACCTTCATGGCTACATGCAACATGTCC